GTGAATGTGGCACGTAGTGTAAAAGGCGCTTTGAGTGGTCGGAAGACTAGAAAGGCGCTATACAAGTACAGGTCCATTTACCATTTAGCTGTGGATAGTGCAAGTATCATAATATGAGTTCTTATGTCATTAAAAATGTCTGTGTGTACATACGAGCATATCATTTTCTGGCATATGATGAGAAACTCTTGGGGTTAGGGTTGGGGACAACCTCATTATCTTGTAATTCCTTGGTTTACAAAAAAATTGGTCAGCAAAAAAAAAATAGCCTACTGAACAACCGACTGAGACGTTGAAGAGATGTAAAAAGTCAGTGAATAAGCTGTTATTACACAGAGCAAACATGACATTCCTTGGATCAAAACAGTGTTTAAAAAACAGGAAAACATATGAAACTATGAAACTCCACTTGGGTTTGTGGTGAAATGTTGTGGGATTAATCATCACAAAGAAGCTTGTCGGTCTCCTCTGCCTAAGGCCCAAAGGGACACCGATAGGGACAGCAGCACAGAAAGACAAGGAAATAGAAGTGTGGTAGAAACAGAAAACAATCCCTTTCATGCTCTTAGGCTTTATAGGACAGCCATTTGTGCAAATACACGTCACTGCTAACACCCCTCCGTTTCTCTTGGCTGGGGAACAAAGGTTCCCGTCAGCAGGCGTCAGCATCATTTACGAGACAGGCCGAGGAGTAACAGCGTCTTTACATGAAGCATAAACATGATTTGTGACGAAGCAGGGGCCAATAAGGCAAGAACATGACAGGAAGAATAATGCTGCAATTTAGACGAGCCAAAGCAGAAAGCCCTCCAGTCTACCCAGAGAGCCAGGGCCTTTGTGTGTCAGTGTCTGATAAAAGCAGTTATTTTTCTCTTTTATATGATTAAGAATTCAATCTTCTCTCTTTACATTAGACCAACAGCCAGTCTCTCACAGTTTGTTTTTTGTCAGGCCAGAAAAGGCCTGGATTCAAATACTATGAATAAAGTGGAAACATACAGAATGTTTGCATAGGTATATGGACGAAGGATATCTGGATGTTGTACTATCATGGCTAGATTAGCCTGTTTGCGGACCCGGGGTGAAAATTAGCTAGCTAACACATCCTACAAAAAATGGAAAACCTGGAAATTTAGACACTAGTTTTTCAGTCATGGGAGCACCTGGAAATGAACTAAAATGAGAAAATATCCTGGAAATTTTGAATTGTATTTTAGCCACTAACTCAGATTACGTAAACCTTTTACCAGACAAAATATGTGGTATTCCAGTTCTACCATCTACCATAGTGAAGCTTTATCACCGGTTTCAGATGGCACCATGAACACAACATATCTCTACTGCCTTCAGTAGCAATTTGATATTGTTTAACACCTTTCTAATTGCACAGACCACACAATCCTGTGTCCTAGAAGTTATGTGTGGTTTTTATTTAAATTGCTTTCATCATTACTTCGTGTTGACAACGTAATACCTGCCTGGATTATATTCAGAGATGTTTGAGTGAATTAGACGCAGTATGGCATGAAAATTTGACACAGACCACACCCTAAATATTATGCAGGCCCCTGGTTATTAAGAAATATGCACTATGTGAACACAGTATTAGCTGAAACACGGTCGATCTTAAAACTGGATTCCAGTCCTTTCCAAGAAGGGACTCCTAAATAAGGTAGGACCCACTTAAAGTCCCTTATCAGCTTTGGTGGCTTTGGTGTGTGTGAGGATGAGTGTGAGTGAGAGAGATGTGTGGTTGAACCAGGTGCTTCAGCATTCTGTTAACCACAACCAACCACCCACTTCCTGTATAAGTCTAATTAGAGAGTTGGTACAAATGTTATCTCAACATTAGCCAAGTTATCAGTACAAAAAGACACCAGAACATTACATTAACACCATGCGGCTGTGGTGCACAGGCAGAGCGTGTTGTCCCCTAATCGGAAGGTTGTTGGTTCGATCCAGGGCTCCTTCCGCCAAGTGTCGAAGTATCTTTGAGCAAGATACTGAACCCCAAATTGGGAAGATTGTGAGTAATGCGGTTAATTCTGTTCGAGTGGGGCTTCATCGCTGATCTGAATGTGTGGCATGACAAGCGTGGAATGTGGCCAGCGGCGGGATGTGTAAAAGCACTTTGAGTGGTCAGAAGCACTGAAAGGCGCTATGACAAGTACACGGGTCCATTTACCATTTGAAAAACATATTCATGTTTAAAACTAATACTGATTTTTTCAGTTTTAATTTTTGTAGCACTTGATAACATACTTTTATCGAGCCAATTAGAACTGGCAACTGGCAAACTCCAACCCTTTCCTCCCATGCACAACTAATGACTGGCCACTTTTTTTATCGTTTCTCTCATTACTTCAAAAAATATACTAACTTTGCACAAGCCAGTGTCTGTGTTTTGTCCAAATGAGTACTCTTACTCTTCTCATTCAGCACTGCCACCTCTGTTGAGCAGAGGTACAACCACAACTGATGTCATCAAGATATGGAACTTTTCCGAGGGGTATATACAACCAAAGTTGGGAAATAACTGTCTGTAACTGTCTAAGAATAACTACTTTGATGTGTTGATACGTATTAGAAGAATTAGGGCACATTTTTTGATCCAATTCAGGCACTAGCACAAATCTCTATTTGTTTTACAGTAAACTGCACTTGCTGCTTTACTGTTAGCTAATTGTTAATGTTAGTGCACACTTAGTTGACATTAGCTCAGATCAACAGTAGTCGCTGACCTTCAAAATTGTTTAACCATTTGTCTTGTCCAAACTATATTAAATTTTAAAGAGAAAGTAAAAAGCAGCAATCCAAAGGTTCAATATGATTCCATTTAGAGCTTTCTTGGTGCAATACAACACAGCTGTTGAGCCAAAGTTCAGGCTGTTTAATCTCACTGCATTAATTTCAATTAATTATTTGTGCATGTAAACATAGTTTTGCTGTAATAGAGGAAGTGGACTCACCATCGACTCTGAACAGTAACCGGGTAACCTCTGGAGGAGATGCTTTAGATGAGACTCACTCTTTATAGTAGCAAGCTGCAAGACAGAAGCAATGAAGAGTCACATTTAACAATTTACACAGATTTAAAAAATGTTTCTGTCAAGGTACAACTGTGTAAGGACACAGCATTATCAGTTGTGGGAGGTAGCTTCTGTCTCCCAATACAGCCACCGACGGTTCTATATCTGTTTTTGTCTATGAATTTCAGATATCAGGACTGCAAGCTCTACACCGTGAAGGTCTTCTTTTTAGTCCTGTGTGACAATTTAGTGAATGAAACAGGCAGCACTCATACAGGCAAACCTTATGAAAAGTTTGTTTAGGATAACAATACAAAGATGATCTAGCACAATGCCCAATGTCAGCTGGAGCACTTCAAGGCTTGAATAGATATGAAACTCTCCTGGCTGCATCAGTAGTACAAAAGATGAGAAGATTATATCAGAACCAGCATTCACTT